ACTCAGCATACGTCCACACGCTGCCTCATACGCCGCAAGACAGCAACGAGACATCGACGGCATGCATCCACAGACCGATTTCAAATCGCGAGACCATAACGCCATGCGTCCTGACGGGGTGACACGAACTAATTGTCGGACCCTTTCTCCCTCCCTGGCTCTTAATTATGACCAGAATTTGCCCCATTGATCTATACTGAATAATTGAAAGCGTTCGTTAGCCTAACGTGACTTCCTAGATGCTCATGAACGGACCAATTAACACGAGGGCCGCACCAGCCATTATCAACCACAATCTGCCGCAATTTCCTGGAAGTGACAAAAAATAGTCTTCTTGCCGACGCTCACATATTTCATGATAAACCCCCTTCGAAACTGGTTTCGAAGGCAGTTAGTCGAAGTATGAGGACGCCTTTCGGGCTATACCATTGCGACATATTTCCCGTTCCTTCGCCTCGCATTTCAACAAAATTTACCTTTCTTTGTCGTTTCTCTCACATACGGCCAGAAATTTTGGGTTTATCTGCAAAAAAATTCCCAGGTTCTTACGATTGGAAAGTCATATTGGCAACCAATTGTTTTCAGTCATTAATATTTAGGTCGGCACAATGACACGGAGTTGCTCGGTCAGTGGAGCATTGTCAGCCTAGGTTGCGTGCATGTTCTCGGTACCTTAGAAGGGCCCATGCTCAGACCATGAATATAGCACTGGTGCAGAGACATATCTCGCTGTCTGCGAGAGCGGACCACCCTGGTAACAGCAGCCAAAAACGAAGACGAAAGTAATTGGCAGTGACATGTTTTGTAAGCGTCACTTCATTTCTAAGATAGATCACTCGTCATTGTTTTGGTAGTATTAAGACGCACCTTGGAACGGAGGCCAGGGCCCTGACTTTGAGTTAACTACTTCCGATTGATTTAGTTGACCCAAGTTAATACTTCCGATTGGTTTAAGGCAGTGCATACTGTGTACCTATGCTTGTAAATAGTAAATCCTATCAGGGTGATCGATAGGAGCGAGAGCTTGTTTTTGTGCTTATGTTACCAAAGCCGATATGTCACCGTCTAAGTACTTCATGTTTGGGTTCCCAAGGTAGAACACAACAACAAGGGTGCAAAGGTGGAAGTCGCTAGAATGACGGTTTTATTGAGCGCAAAACCCGCAGTTGCTGTCTAAAGCAGTGTTGACTGCG